AGGCAGCAGTTGTAGGGCATGGTGCTGGGAGGGAGTGGAGCTCTGGAAGTCAGTTTCAAAACCTGATTCCTTTTCTCTGGGATAAGCACTGGTCCTCTCAGGGCTTTATATTCTGTCAGCAGTGGGCGTGGCAACCATGTCAAGCATTCCTCCTTTCCACCTCCTTTGCTAATTTTTCCATCTGTTATTTGGCCACTTCACCTGAGTCCTACACCTCATAAAATGTTTTACTCTGGCTTCTTGCTAAGTCAGGACTCCTCACAAAACACGCTGATTGATTAAGTAAGAGCTTCACGGTTGGGCTTCAAAGTGACTGATCTTGCCCACAGCAGTGCTTATCCACGGGATATTAAGCTAGAGTGACAGCTAGGCCCTGTCCCCAGAGTAGAGGCACATCTGTGTCTCTTTCTCCTAAATGAGGAAAGGCTTCTGTCTCATCCAGTTCATATTCAATTAGGTCTCTCTGAGAAAATCCATGAAAGGAAACCCATCTAGAAACTAGACTATGTGATAGGGAATCCTGGAAGCCGAGCTCAGAAAGGAGGTACAAGGCCATTGGTTCAGGGACACTTTGCAGTTCCATCCAGGCAGATGGAGGCATCTCTCCCCTCTTCCTATGGGCCTGCAGGAAGCTACCCACCTCTGTTTCTGCTACTGTTCAGTGCTCACCAGAACTATAAGAACACTAGAATGTTTGGAGTACCTACTCTGCATGAAGCCCTGTGCTCTGTGCCTGTGCACAGTGTGACTCTGTCATTGGTGATGGCTCCTGCTTGCTGAGCCTCCACTGTGCACCAGGCACTGTGCTAGGCACCTCCTAGGCACAAGCTCCTTCAGTCCTCTCAAAATGCTGCAAGGCTTTATAGATAAGAACATTAAGCCTCTGAGAGGTACCCCAAGGTCACAGAGCTCCTACGTGGTGGAGCCAGGATTCAAACGCAGATCTAATTCCAGTGTCCACAGTCTCTCCATCATGTTACACGTCTCTCTCTTCCAGTCTTCTCACTACTGAGATGCAATAATGCAGCAATACAGATTGATCTCCACTGAGCTCAATCAGTGCTGACAATAACCCAAATTAGAATGGGCCAAGAAATAACAAGCCTGCTCTTTGCTTATTAAAGAAACAAAGTCACTTCTATGCTGATGGAAGGTAGTTTACTAAGTGAAAATGCATTATACCCACTAGAAGCTTGAAAAAAAAAAAAAAAAAGGAACCCTCAGTTGATCTGATGTGGAAATACCTGGACACCTAGCTCTCAGAATATGACCCTGCAAAGCCACCACTTTGTCATGTGCTTGAAGTGGCATTTTATGACCATTGGCACATTTCGGCAAGCAGATGCTCTGCCCTCATCCATTCCAGATGGAGCCATGAACGACAAGGATTTTGTGTGTAGTCTACTAGTGCTCAAATCCTGACAGAGACTCCTCCAAGTTGTTTCTTTTGGAAGCTACATATTAAGTCTTGCCATACAGGTATTCTTTTCCTGTGGGTGAGCTGCCATTGCTCAGATCACCCTTCCTTCAAACTTGCCCTCACAGCCTGGGACACATTCTTTTAGTTATCCTCATTGAAGGCCAACCTTCATCTTCTGAGGGTGTGTTTATTTTTGGAACCAGCCAGATGTCATTTGAAACCACACCTAGTGAGTAGGGTAAGTAACCAAGCTGCGTACCGTCTTTAATGGGTCAGAAACACATTGCGACTGCAAAATAATTATGTGCATTTTCTTGGGTGACTCTGGAAGTCATTTCCAAGGAGGAGCTTCAAATATACTTTTATAAAGGACAGCAGCTTTGGAGCAAATGTGTGGTCTTCCAGAATGAATGCATTGGAAGTACTGATATCCTCCCCTACATTCACAATCCTCAACTGACAGCACCTCCTGCCAGAATCTCTACCATTTTTTTATTTTTATTTTTATTTTTTTGAGACAGAGTCTCACTCTATTGCCCAGGCTAGAGTGCAGTGGTGCAATCTCAACACATTGCAACCTCCACCTTCCAGGTTCAAATGATTCTCCTCCCTCCGCCTCCCTAGTAGCTGGGATTACAGGCACACACCAGCACGCTCGGCTTATTTTTGTATTTTTAGTAGAGACGGGGTTTGACCATGTTGCCTAGGCTGGTCTCAAACTCCTGACCTCAGGTAACCCACCTGCCTCGGCCTCCCAAAGTGCTGGAATTATAGGCGTGAGCCACCGTGCCTGACCTGAATCTCTACCTTTAAAATGATTCCACCATCAGTGAGATTTGGCATGGGCATATTGGTTTAAAATCAGTACCAAACTGATTAAAGTCCTATTGGATGAGATCAAATAACATAAAGCAAATAACTGAATTCATTAACTTTTCTCTATTTACCTTCTGTTCTTCTCTCCTTCTTCTAGGCCCCAAGCTTCAAAAGAGAAAAATCTGACAATGGCACTTAAAAAAAAAAAAAAATAGCGGGTGGGGGGAGGAATAGTGTGTCATAGACTAGTAAATATATCCAAGGGGATCCCTATAACCATTGCTGTAGCTTCTACCTCAGTCACAGTGGAATGATTCAGAGATAAGTATACTTGTGTCTTTAAAAATGGAGATCAGAGTTCAGAAAACACTATTCCCACATCTTAAGTAGAAGTAGCTATTTTCTGCACAGCTACTTGGCCATCATATAATAATAGTTGGAAGAACGTGGGTCTATTGAGAAAAGAGCCAAGTTTCAATTAGCTTCTCAGGAAGTCTGGAAGGCAATTGCTTTTTCTTTATTCCACTTGTTGTGAATTCTTACCTTTACATGGGTTATGGAATTGTCTCTGTTCAATGACCCTTCCATAAACATGATGAGCAAATCAAATCCTAACAAACCGAAAGGTTTTATACATACCCATGTAATTGTGGTGGATGCTGTGGTTGAGGCTTCTGGTCTTAAGATGTGAGCAAATTGCAATTGAGGTGTAAGGATGCTATTTATTATGGAAGCCAAGGCTATTTCCATGGAAGAGATCACATGCAAACTCACCAGTGATGCTTAACCATGGAGTGGACATACGACAGGTCTTCAGCTGATGCCACCTTGTTGTGGAACTATAAAGTCGTTGGGAGGCCTCCCTCCTTCTCCCCAAAATCATCTTCCCCAATGTCCAGGCTCTGGTGCTTGAAATTCTCACCATGAGAAATATAAAATGTATTCTTTTAGAAACACGAAGTAACACTGGGCTACTTGAAAATTAATTATATTTTAATGTGTATGAAATGGCAAGCAGATGCCAGGAGTGGTATCATGGCATGCACACAGATCAAGAAGATGGACTTTTTGCCAAAGAGGGATCCCAGAGGGAAATGAGAAAAGCAGAAACACTGTCCAGTATCGACCCCAGCCCATGGTTCTGGGCCAGCCTGTTAGAGTTTCCTAGAAGAGCAGAAGATAGGGCTTCCACAGACTGTTCCATAAAGGCAACTGTTGCCAATTTATCAATCCTCCAGCCTCAGGACTTTAAGAGGAGAAATTGAAAGGGTAATTCAGGACCTAAGGCAACAGGCTTGGCTCTGTTCAATAGGGCTTCTGATAAGCGACAAGAAGCAGAGGGGCTGGAGAAGGATCCCGGTCAGCAGTAAGCTAGACTGAGCAAAAACATACAAACACCTCAAAGTGGAACTCAGGAGCTAGCTCTACAAACCCTCTCTGGAGCCACCATTGTCTCTCTTACACTCAGTCCTGGGCTCCCAATGAGAATGAGGTCTTATAGTCTTCAGGGACCCAGCCAAGTCAGAAAAATGCAAAGTTCATCTATGCTATGTGTTTTTTTAACTTTTAAGTTGAGGGGTACAAGCGCAGGTTTGTTATATAGATAAACTTGTGTCGTGGGAGTTTCTTATACAGATTATTTCGTCACCCATTAAGCCTAGTCTTCATTAGTTATTTTCCCTGATCCTCTCCCTTCTGCCACCCTCTACCCTCTGAAAGGCCCCAGTGTGTATTGTACCCCTCTATGTGTCCATGTGTTCTCATCATTTAGCTCCCACAAGATGTCATCTCAGTCCTCAAGATCTGGCAAAAACCAAGGCTGAACCTCACATCAAGGACTTTGGAGAGCCCCCAGTCAACTCTGTGGTTTCTATCAGTGGTCCTCAAATTCTTCTGTATCCAGCCAACTGCCATTGGACAGTTTAACAATTTCTATAGCTCTAATTATCATCTTTGTTTACCTAGCTGTCTGACATCTCTCTCTCAAATCTAGTCATTCTTTTCCAGGTCTTTCCAATGGAGACTCATTGTTGTTTCATTTTCTCAGGCTGAAAATCTTCAGACACATAGTAGGTATTTGTGACTGTTAATTTAATGTATCAACTTCACTGGGCCAAGGGATGCCCAGATAGCTGGTAAAACATGATTTCTGGGTATGTCTGTGAAGGTGTCTTTAAAAGAGACCAGCATTTGATTCAGGAGAGTGAGTAAAGATCACCCTCCCCAATGTGGGCAGGTGTCCTCCAACATGGGTAGTCAAATAGAACCTAAGGATAGAAGAAAGGCAAATTATTTCTCTCTTATTGACCTGTAAGGGACAAGCAGGAGATGGTCTGGAGAATAAGCCAGGTCAGTAGTAAGCTATGCTGAGCAAAGACAAATACAGACACCTCAAAATGGAACCCAGGGGCTAGTTCCACAGACCTTCCCAGAGCTGTCACTGTTTCTCCACACTCGGTCCTGCACTCCCAATGAGAATGGAGTTGAGCTCCATCGTCTCCTGCCCTCTAACATCAATGCTCCCAGCTCTTGAGCCTTCATCTCAAACCAGGACTTACACCAGCAGCCTTCCTGATTCTCCGACCTTTTGGCTTGGATTGGAACTACACCCCTAGCTTTGCTGGGCCTCCACCTTGAAGACAGCAGATTATTGGACTTTTTAGTCTCCACAACATCTGAGCTATTTTCTCATAATAAATCTCTTTCTATGTATCTCTATATAGCCTATTGTTTCTGTCTCTTGGGACAACCCTGACTAATCAGTGTGTGATCAGTATTAGTTTCCTTTCTTCTCTCTCCATTGTTCCTCTGCCGCTACTCAACTTCCGTAT